CTTGGCCTCTTCTATACCCAGCCTGCACTTCTGGCAGTTCTCTGTTTATGTGCTACTCTAGTAGTTTTTGGATAATCATCAGCAGAACGTTGCTTGCATTTAATATCAATGATACTGTTCGATAATTGCCGCACTCTGTTGGATCACCTTTCTCTGGAATGGGATCTAATATAAATCTCTTCCAGTCAGTTGGACAGGTGGTCATCCTCCAGATTTTTGGTACAAATTGATGAGCACATCCAGGGAAGCATCTATTTGTTAAAATTTAAAGTTAATGTTTCTATTAATATTTATAGCTGTGAGTTAGTGTTGGTAAAACACTACTGTTACAGTGGTATTTTGATACTTCCTACAGAAAGCCGATCTGCCAACAGCCTAGTCGTTGTGGGTCCTGCCCTTTGTCTAGTACAGGCACAGATAACATGAGTGGCACTTGCTCAAAAAGGCCACATTTTTTTTCTCTGTTAAATAGCAGCGTGTTGTTGTGTTGTTGTTTTTTTTTTTCAAATATAGCAGTTTTCTATTTTACAGGGCATCTAAAACCTATAATAGGAAACTCTCTTTTATTAAAGGCTTAGTAATTAAATGAATATGCTTTGCTCTTTGCAGATTTACTCTGCTTTCAATAAGCTTGACCGATGAAAATCCAAATTAAACTCCTATGAATTAGAAGGTGTCTAGCCATTTTGCAGAGGGATTTGTCATGTCATAGGAGGCTCTGTTTAACTAGTAAGGTGATTGGAGTCTGATTCAAATTGGAAAAGAAAATTCTCACGTAAGCTTTTAGATACACATTAATTGCCAAAATCATGACCTATGATCTTAATACGATTTAATGCTCAATATTGCTTATTTGTTTTTTAAGTGATTATTTTCCTGTTTGTGAAGACAATCTCTCTCCTATTCTCTCAAGAAATATAAAATTACATTTTAAAATACCACTATTTTTAAAATGTGTATAATTTACATAGGAACTAACAATCTCCTCCCACGTACATTAATCCATCTCTATTGCTAACGAGTTTCATTTGTTCCTGATGGTTTCTGTGTTTAAAAAGGTGTATCAAAGATGAGGATAGTAAAAAAAAAAAATCATATCCATTTCCCCTGCTGCCTGGCTAATCTGAGTGATAAGTGTGTGATATGCAAAATCAACAAGAAGGACCTGCACTTTCAAATACCTCTCCTGCTTTTGAATGCTGACAGTCCACAAATAGAAGGGAACTTTAATTAAAAAATTAAAGAAGTTTGAGAGCAAATAACCCTGGACAGCATTTGATTTAAGTGCATTATTTGGAATTCATATTTTTCCTTTGTTAGGAAGCTGTTAGGTACTTGAGAGAATGCCAAAATATGGGTGAAAGGTAGTGAAAGTAAAAAAAAAAATGCTGAGTATCCAGTTGTTTCTTGCAAGAGCAGGAAGTGGGAGCCCATGCTCCAGCCATGCCCAGGAAGTGATGGAAGAGTTTTAAACCAAAGTGCTCCTCTAACCAGGCTAATTTAAACAAACAAACAAAAAAATGAAATTGGCTGTTTGTTAACAGCTTTACTTTGCTTGGCTCCACAATCAACCCTCTTGGTGCCAGCCGCCAGAAAATTAAAAACACAAATTGCATTGTGAAAGTCTGCTGTGAGAGACTTCTCCAAAGTACTAAAGATCAATGATATCAGTCTGGAGTCTAAGGTGTGCCTGATCCAGCTCATGATCTTTGCAATTACTTTCTGTGCATTGGAAAGCTTGACAATGACTACAGATGATAGAACGGGAATTGATGTCTTTGAGTTATTGTGCTGGAGAAGAGTGTTGAATATATCTTTGACTGCTAGGAGAACAAACAATTTCAGCCTGGAGAGGGTGAGACCAAGCTGCTCCTTGGTGTCAAGGGTTCTGAAACTTCATCTGACATACTTTAGACATGTTTCAAGACCCTCAATGAGGTGGATTGATTTAGTGACTGGGGTAATGGGAGTAAGTGTGTCAGAAACAAAAAGATTGGCTGAGGAGAGAGTGGGTTTTAGGGCTGTTGTACATAAGGTTGCTATGATTCGCAGGCAGTTCAATGGCACATAACAACAATAAAAACAATATTAAAATTTGAATAAATAAAAAACATAAAAATATGAATGAGTACTTGTTGTCAATTTAACGGAACCAGTCTTCTTAATATTGGCCTTTTATTTCAGTTCTCTGTCTAATAATGTCTATACCATAGTCTATGATAATGTTGTCATTGATGTCACATGCAATTTTTAGTAGTTTTATATTGTTGCTATTAGTATGAAACCACACATTTAAAATATTAATGGTTAGTTTTATATTAAGGGATCTCTATTAGCATAGATCATAGGGACCTCTAGTGGCCTAGTGATAAGAAGCTGCACTTCAATCCTGAAGGTAAGTGGTTCAAATTCATCAACTGCTCAGCAGGAGAAGGATGGGCAATCTCCTTCTGTGTGATTAACTGTCTGAAGACCTACCTGATGATAAGTTATGGATTGGTTCTGACTCAACAGCACACAACAACAAAAACAACAACAACAACTTGGCTAGTTCATAGGAGTTGAACTGGTTAACACAAAGGTTGCACCATTCTGGTATTTTGAATCTTGTGGACCAGCATCTCTTCTAGAGAAAGATGGGCATTTCCCTCCTATTCAACTTAAAACCTCCCAAAAATCTGCTTGATGTCTGTTATGACTTGGTTCTGACTTAATAACAATGGGTGAAAGAGTGTATAGCATCACAGTAAGTGCTCACTTCCCACAAGTTTTTTTGTTTAAGGTAATTTTATTTTTCACTTGACAGCTATTGCCCTCAAACACCATTATTTAATAAACAGAATTATCCTTCTGTATGAGTTATAGCCTCTGAAATTTATCGGATGCTTAGCTATGAGTCAGTTTACTCAACAGCAAAGAGATAGAGAATGGGATATAGCCTTCTTTGTTCATTAGGAAAAAAGATGACTCCAAGATATAAAGTAAATATTTCACCTGTAGTCTCCTCTCTGTATTTCTTATGAGGTATACAGATCTATGTATTGAGAAGGAAAGTAAACTAGGGAGTATAGTGGATTGTATGTTGGACTACTATCTGAAAGGTTAGCCATTCAAATCCGTCAGTCACTCCATGAAGAAAGATGACACAATCTGTTACTATTTACAATTACAGCCTTCAATACCTGGTGGGGTTTGGCATGAGCTGGAACTGATAGTGATTTCAAAATCATTTTAAAACTCATATGTTGATTGTGCTTTTGTGAAACCTATACTTGGTCCAGGAGGTAACTGTCAGAATAGAGCAAGGAAACCCTGCAAAGTTTAAAATATCTGGAAGGGTGTACACCAGGGATGTGTCCTATCTCTATACGTTTTCAATCTATACGGAGAACAGATCATCAGAAGGTTGGGATCTATGAGGAGGAGAGGCATCAGGATTGGAGGAAGGCTCATCAACAACCTGTATTATGTAGATGACACAACCTTGTTTGCTGAATCAGAGGAGGACCTGAAGCACTTGCTGCAGAAGATCTATGACTGCAGCCTTCAATATGGATTGAGGCTCAGCATTGAGGAAACATAGATTCTCACCACTGAGATGATTAGTAGCATCATGATGGATGGTGAAGAGACTGAGATTGTAAATAGCTTTAATTTGCCTGACTTCACAACCAACATTCTTGGTGCCAACAGCCAGAATAACAAAAGACAAATTGCACTGGGAAAGTCTGCTGCCAGGAATGTCTTCAGAGTACTGAAGATCAACCATGTCAGCCTGGAGACTAAGGTTTGCCTGATTCAAGCCATGGTCTTCACAATTGTGTGCTATGTATCAGAAAGATGGACAATGACTAGGGATGATGCCTTTGTGCAGTGGTGTGGGGGAAGAGTATTGACTATACCATTAGCTGCTAAGAAGATAAACAAGTTTGTCCTGGAGAGGGTGAGACCAAGCTGCTCCTTGGAAGCCAGGATTCTTAAGTTTCTTCTGACCTACTTTGGACATGTTGCAAGGAGGGACCAGTCCTTGGAAAGGGAAATAATGCCTGGGAGAGTAGAGGGACAGCCCAAGAGAGGAAGACCCTGAATGAGATGGATTGACTCAGTGACTGGGGTTGTGTTGGTTGTAGGTGTGTCAGAGACAGTAAGTTTGGCTTACTACAGAGTAGGGTTCAGAGCTGTTGTACACAGGGTCACTTTGAGTGACAGGCGACTTGATGTAACATAGCAACAGACAACAACATATGTTTACAATGCCCATCTCTACATGTTATTGTTGCTGCTGTTGTTCATTGCTGTCTAGTAGGAACCCATTCATAGCTGACCCTGCATTGAGTTTTCAGAGGCCGTAGCTCACAGAGGAGGAGATTGTCTGCTTCTTTTTTTTTTCTTGGAGTAGCTGTTGGACTCAAACTTTAGAACATATTAGCACAACTGAACATTTATTTATATTTAAATTAGCCCAGATATACACTTTGCTATATGCTTCATTTCACCCAGATGGCAAATGAGTGCACACATAATTTTAATCTAGCTCTCATAATGTTTAGCACAATGGTCAATTCACAGGTGTTTAATAAATATTTTAGAAAAATAAATGGAAACCAAACCAGGAATAGCTAAATAGTGAAGGCTGGTCAAAAATATTCACCAACTATTATTTCAGATTATATATATAAATTAGAAATGGGAATATTCCTAAAATCATTACATGTCTTAGAAGAAAGAAAGAATTGTCTACTATATGACTTCTCAAGAGCACACCTTCACATTCGGTTCTGGTGAGAAAAGTTCCAGCTCTCCAGGGTTTCTGATGGAATCCGGGACAGCAATGATCACAACTCTCACCACACGTATTGTGTTCACATTCACAGCGGGATTTCTGATCAAAGAGAAAGGAATGGAATAGTTTCAGTGTTACACAGAGCTATGAATGAAGGTCTTTCCCTGAAATGTCGTATGAAGAAGCAATAAGAACTCTAGCCTATGCATCAGTCTATAAAACCACTTCTTAGTCTAGGAAGAAAGTGGACCCCGCCTCGGGGCTGGGCTGGCATATATAACCAGCATCAGCTTAGGGGACTCCATGGTATTGACTAGGATGGAGATTGGAAGAAAACCCAAAGCAACACAACTCATAGCTGTCTAGCTGATTCCAACTCATAGCAAGCATCCATCACATTTCTGAGTCTGTAAATCTCCATGGAAATGAGACTGTTTATCTGGTGGCCTAGTGGTAGGAGTCACACTGTCAACCCAAAGACCCATGGTTTGAATCTACCAGCTGTTTTGCAGGAGAAAGAGGGACAATCTTCTCCCTTGCGATTTACAGCCTTTGAAAACCTGTTGGAGGGTCATTTATAGGTCAGTTTCAACTTGATGGTACATAAAAAACATGACTTGCCTGGTGGATTTAAATAACTTAACTTTCAGTTGGCAGCCTTATATAAGACATAGGCCACCAAGGGCTCCTTTCAGAAAAGAACAAGATTATCCAATTATGGTTGGTCATGAACACCAAATTATCTTTCTCTGATGCTTGGACATGTACATTTTCAGTGTCACAAGTGTCTATTCATGATTTTCCTCAAAATGTTGTTAACATTTTAGGTAAGCAAATGGAGAGTGGATTGTTAGCTTTATAAATCTATAAGGGCACAGGTAGAAAATAAATCCAGTGTTCTCCAAGACTTAACTTCCAAAAATCTTCCTAGTCAACTGGAAACATTATCCATTAATCCACTGAGAGAGAGAGAGAGTCATCATGTCCTGAAGAAAGCAGTAGAACTTTGTTCCCCACGTTCTCCCACATATACTAATATACTTGAACCTTCTCTTGGAATTAATATTGTGGTATATTAGTCGGGAAATTAGCATTTTGTGTGATATTATTTTTAGTAAAAAAAAAGTAACCCCAAAGTCAATCTATGTTAATTGATTTTTTTATATTCAACTCATGTCTACCATCTACTGCACAATAGATGGTTTTGTAGTTCATAATTTTGTTTATGGTTAAGGAAAATACATGTTTTTCCATCTCCTTCTTTAGGTTATGCTCATATAATACATTGACATTAATAAAAAAATACTACTCAAAATCATTCTGGCATTTTCTGGCCTGGCAATTTCAACTCTCTCTTGAATACACTCCCTTACCCTGTTCCCTACTGCCCCCACTCTATCCCAGCATATAGTTTCATGCTCATTATGTATTTACTTCCATCTCCATTTTTCATTTTTTTGCATTAATTTTTTTGATTAAAATTTTTAAAGAAATGGCAAGGCTGATTGATAGCAGGCAGTCCTCAAAGCTAAATCATGCTGCAGCCTGTCATAGCTAGAGAAGTTTCAAAATAGATAGACCAGTTTGTGAGCCTTTTTAAGAAAGAGGGAAAGCGGGGGGGGAAAGAAACTAATCTGTTTTCTAATACTGTGATGGCTGGCTTCAAAGTCTATCATCCTAACTGCCAGCTCTATTTCACCTGGCACAGCTTTCTGTTACACTGTCTAAGTGGAGAGCTGACACCCATTCACAGCGTTTCCTGTCACCAAAGCCTCGCATGGAGCATTTTACAGTTCAGGGCTTCATTTCGCTTAAGCGTCCTATAAATATACATACATTTGTCGCTGGATCAAGCGGACAAGCTCTGGCGTGACCATAGCAGATGCACATCCCTCCGACTGAAATATCCTTGACGGAATAGTAATACTGCAAAAAAGCAATTCAAAGGAAAAGCCTGTTAAGATGACTTCAAGGTGAAAGAAACAAAAGAGAATTCTAAGTTCAAACACTTTGCACTCAATTTTATCCTTACTTGGGAGCAAGTTTTTGTTCTTTGGGGACGGAGACACCTGGAAACTTATAAAATTGATCAAGTCATACCTAGCATTGTATTCATCCCCAATGAAAAACACCTTTAATATATATTAAGGGGGCATTTGTGAGGTTTGTAGACAAGCAGTATTTGCCAGTTTTTATTTGTACTCTAGAATATAATTATTCATTACATTGTTTTACTTATTATCCTGATAGAAAAATATCTTTTATTGCTATAATTCTATTTCTAGCATAATAGACAGTATGTGTGTCTGATCCAGAATAGCTAATCGATAGCAGTCTATCTCAGGTCATTTATGACTAGGATATCAATCTTCAACTGTTCCATTTCATTCTGACAACTTCCAATTTTCTTAGAATCATACATCATACATTTCACATACTAATGGATGTTTGTGGATGCTGATTCTCATTTTAAGTCATGGCAAATCAGCAAATAAAGATCCATGAACTTTACCCATCATTTCAGTAAAGTCCATTGTACTCTAATAAGCCACCTCGTCTAGGACCGTATTAAACAACATTCTATTTTTTATAAGGTTTCACTATTTAATATTTCAGGAAAACACACCCAAAACCTTCTTCTAAATCTGTCTTTATCTGTTAACTCTATTAAAGCCTGTCCACTATGGACGACCATAGTATTTGATGTACTATGGCATACCAAGCCAAAGGTGGGTCATTTTAATCTGCGGATCTCATGCCTGGCTTTAATTGATTTTGGTCAAATATTCTTCGAAGTGGTATAGCACTGGTCTGTCCATTTGCTGTACAGAAATAACTCACAGTTTCTGTGTTGTTAAATACTGTGACACTGATGTGTTAAAGGCAAAAATGGTTACTCATGGTGGACAGTGTTTGGTGGAGCTTCCCGATTAAAACAAGCTTGAAAACGAGTGGCATCCACTTCCAAAATAGCTTGCCTCCAGAAACTCTATGAGCTTGGGGAAACGATGAAAGTTATGCAAGTGTTTGGGTCTTTAATCCATAGGGTCACTATGAGCCGTCTATGACTTGACTGCACTTAACAACAACAACACGGCATACCTCCCAGCATCACAGCAACATATAAGCCATTACAGCACAACAATCTGATAATCCAGCATTCTACTATGTCAGTAGAACACCTTTAAGAGAAATGGCACCATATACATTGTCAGAAAGATGATTTTAAGCTCATAAAGTATGATACTGCCAGTGACAGGATAATGTCAATACACCTACCAAGAAAAGAATAGTTAATACCAACATTTAGACTTATGCATCCACCAGTAGTACTAAATATGATGATAATCTAGATTTTTACTAACTTCTGTAGTTTAAAATTGATCAAGTGTGCAATCAACAACATACAATAATAATTACTGGTGGCTAGAAAATGGAACAAGCAAGAGAAATGGGTAGTTGGAAAACAGAGTTTTCTGTTGTACACAGGGAAGCAACATTGGGCACTTGAAAAACACACAGGTATCTCATTATTCACAAATAAACTGGAAATTATTTTATGTGATGGATTTGAAAATAATCATCTTGTTTAGCAGAAACCATGACCAGAATGAATGGAAACCCTAAGTCTCTGTAAACTTTCTTTAAAATTAACTTAAAAAAAAATCATAGGTACTGAAAAAAACCCACATTTATTGAGCTCTGGTGTTTTAATGGTAAGAAGTTGCCCTGCAAATTCAAAGGCACATGGTTCAAATCCACCAGCTGCTCTGTGGGAGAAGACTGACCAATCTCCTCCTGTGCTATTAACACTTTGCCACACACGTTTTAAATTGACGACCGTGCTTAGAAACACATTTGCAGTCATTTGTGGCAACGTGTGTAACTGCCTCTGAAAACTGCCTGGAGATCAGCAAAGTGTTGGTTCCTACTTGACAGTACACAACAACAACAACAACAATTATAAAAAGGAAATAAACATTTGCATTAAAGTAATGTAGGAAGGCGGAAGCTCATATAATCCATAATACTAATCTTTGGGCCTGTTTAATAAAAGTCTTTTTATTTTCCGTACTCTTCTTTGCTCTGATCCAAAAGATACCAATAGCTACCCATTGTATGATTGCTTACAGCTTTTAAGACTTTAATGAGTATTCACAAAGCAGGAGGTAGAACATTTTCCTGTATACAACATTATACCAGTCATCTTAAACTTTCAGGTCCAGTAATTCATAAAAGTGCTTGGTTACTGCTAAGTAGTTTTCATAATTTTACCTCTATTTTTAGTAATAAATATATGGGTCTATCAGTGACTTAGTGGTAAGGAATTGTGCTGCCAACACAGCAATACTTGGTTCAAATCCACCAGTGGCTCCATGGAAGAAAGTAGGACAATCTTTTCCTGTGTGATTAATCTCCTCTGAAAACCTACTAGAGGGTCAGTTAAGGGTCAGTTGTGAGTTGACAATGCATAACAACAACTTTTTATAGTATATACAGAACACGTGTAGAAATATTATTGCCATCCTTATACAGCCAAGGGTCTAGTCTCATTCACTTACGTGTACTTGTTCATCTTGCATTTAAGGCCATGTTTCTACTGTCAGATTAATAACTACTATACAGTTCCAGCACTGGAGAGGAAGACCCCGATGAGAGGGATTGATACAGTGATGGGGACAATGAGAGTTGGTGTATGGGAATTAGAGAGACTTGTTTGGGAGAGGGCTGGGTTCAGAACTGCTGTACATAGGATTTCTATGTGTTGCAGAAAACTTGACGGCACATAACAACAACAAAAACAATGACAGTTCTTAGGGAGTTGTGATGCTACCTAGGTTTGTGCTTCACTGCCAGTTCAAATTTATCAGTGATTCCTTTGAAGAAATATAGACAGTCTCCTCTCATTTAATTTACAGCCCCAGAAAACCCATTGGAGGGTCTGACAAAGTCAATTCAGACTGAAGAACACTGAATTTTAGTTGTTACTAAAGATGGCAGAGTGTGTATGAAATAGTCTTTACCTTTTCAGTCTGTATCTCTGGTGTATATCTTTGTGTCTTTATTTTCCTTATTGTACTTATCACTTATTTTTTTAATATATTGCCTTTCTCTCCATCCAATTTAATAAATGTCTCTTATATAATTAGCATTTCCTTAAAACTCTCCTCCCTTCTATGATAACCATGAAGGAATCCTTCTATTTGTAAACTCTTTTTTTTAAACTTTTTATAGTACTTGACTCAAAGAGTATTTGTCTTTTGTGATTGATTCATTTTACTCAACATAATGCCTTCCAGTTATCTCTACTTTCATATATTTTATATATTCTTCATTGTCCTTTAATGTTGCATAGTATTCCCTTGTATGTGTATACTATAGTTTATCCTTTCTTCCACTGACAGACACTTTGATTGTTTCCTTCTTTTTACTATTTTGATAATGCTGTACTTAATAGGCATGTGTATATATTTATCTATGTCTCAGCTCTGGTGATTTTAGGGCATATGTCAAATAATAGGGTTAATAGATCAAATGTATTCCTGTTTATAACTTCTTAAGAAAGCTTCATGCCCTTTGTCACAGTGGTTGTACTGTTTTAAGTCATACAAGCAGTGTATGATAATTTGAAACTTTTTTTTAACCTCACTGGCATTTGATATTCCCTGTATTATTGAACTTTGTTATAGTTGCTGGTGTAAAATGACATTTTGTGTGTCTCTATGGGCCAATGAATGACAGTGTTTTGTGAAGTATTAATTGGCACCTGGATATCTCTTGGTGAGATATCTGAGTGTGTCCTCTGCCCATTTTCTAATTAGATGGCTTGTCTTTTTGCCTGAGATCACAATAGAAGATAACAAAAACATAGAGATGACCAGCTTTCTGGGTTAACAGAGATGGCAGAATTCCCAGACTGTGATTCTTAGTCAACCATCAATCCTGGAACTTAAATTATCACCCATCTCTCAGCCAATAACTCAACTTCCAGGCAAGCAATAGGCAGGCTTCAAAGGTGATCTAAAATACTAGTGAAAAAAAGCACTTGGATAATGTACCACATATTATCAAAAGGTAGGAAGGGGTAGGAAAGAAGGATAAATGGAATGAAAAATGAAGAAGGGAGAGAGAAGTGCTGTTATAATATCACAATAACTCAAACGCAACCTCTTCCCTATGAGTCAGCATGACTCACAGCCTACCCCTCCAGCAAGTCTTTAGGAGGCTGCAAATCCCAGAGAAGGAGATTTCTATTTCTCTCACCCAACTTCTGGTGAATTCTAATCACAAGGGAGACACGACTCTGGGTTAACAACAAAACTGTCTATAGACTAGGGAACTGTAATCATTATATGAAACATCATGGATATAAGTTGAATGGAAAATCAATTCACTTTGTAAAATTTCACCAAAATGACAATAAAACTTTGTACAAGGAAGAAATAAAATATAAAGAAAAATTGTTGTTGTTGTTATGTGCCGTTGAGTCGCTTGCAACTCATAGCGACCCTATGTACAACATCCCTAAACTCCGCTCTGTCCTGTGCCAATC